ATTTCTCAAGATCTTCGAAAATATCTGGCCATGACTTATGAAACGTCAGCAGAAGCAGCAGAGAGGCGTAACAGGGAACACTGGCGTAACACTTCATTCAAATCATAAACCATAGTAGAGTTATATTTTCCGGAATGCAGAGATGACAAGCATTTTTTTTAAAGATTATGTTATCGAACCAAGATTCAGTGAATTCCTCCTGACCCAAGATAATTGAAAACAATATGTAAATTTTATCATTAAATGAACAGAGAAATTGTTACGTTCCAAGCTGCTATTCGTTTTGGAGACTAAATCTTTCATTAGAAAAAGTAAACATATGCACAATGTTTCCAGTAATCGAATAATGAAGTTCAACTTAAAGCTTTTTCACGATTTGGAATTCTTGAAATAAAATCCAACCATTTACTAGAGTCGGAACTCAATACTTATTAAAGTATTATAAGGCACTAAGTCCCATCCAGATCATATTTTTTGGAAACCGAAATGAGATCGATAATACAAATATCAAGATAATGCAAAAATTTCACACAAAATGCATACAGAGTAACGTAAAGCGATACTTATGACGATTAACTAGTAATAATTTGAATGTGCCCATTGAAAAATGGAAATAAGGCACAGTCATGCTCAATTTGTACATCGAAGAAAGTTTAAAGGGAACTAAAAAATGCAATGGTGACCCAAGTCCTTGGGGATCTTCTACCTTGCAAAGTTTAATGAAGTAGGACAGATAATTTCATAATGGAGCAACTGGAATTAGTTCGAGGAAGTAGTGTCATTTTTTGCTCCCTATTCCTTTTCCGACTTAAAACGCCGAAATCTCAAGAAGCTTGGTAGGCATCTTCCAAAGGATTTTGGGAATTTTTGAGTAAAGCGTGTGAAGGGTTTGGATTAGAGAAAAAAAGAAAAACGGACATACTGTTGTGGTGCAAAGTCTACAGAGAAATATAAAAAGCAGCAGTAGCAGGGGCCTGTGACCGCACTTTAATGTACAGTAGTAGTGGTATTTCGCCCGGATTACTTGGTTTAACTTACTGCAGCCAAATCCGTGACAGTTGACGATGAAGCTGAGGGGCACAGGACTGAAATAACAATAAATCCTTTTATCCTTTCACTAATAGACTATTTTGCTAGCAGAACAGCGTTCTTGTTTCCCGTCGTCATTACGCCACATTGCCAATCGTGAAAAAAGGTCAACTTATCAAGGGAAAATCAAGATTCTGAAATACATTTAAAAATGTTCGGAGAGATTCTACAAGTGGTTCGGGAAAGTCGAATTTTATAACTCAACCAAAAATGTTACCAGTCAAGATGTAGTCAGTGAGCATGCTTGGCACGGCGGCACTGTTTTCATCAATTGCTCGCAACACTGAAATTATTCCTAATTTAGGACTCATATAGCACAGCAACTATTACTTTTCCAATCGAACTAAAGTAACATTGCCTTTACCAATCAATAGCAACTAGAGTAAGTCATCGACAATTCATCAAACAGTAGCTTTGGGATAGCACCGACAAGCAGTAATGCCACCGCTAGAAAATGAGGTGAACAATGAATAATGCTGCTTAGTTTAGGAATTAGATTAAGAAAGAAATAAAAACTGAAATAAAATGATCACATTTAATAAGCGCCATCAGTGTATTCATGTTTATGGAAGGACAATTTTCATCGTACGGAATTGTCGCCGTCATATACTACAAAACATGATACTCTAAATTTTTATGATTTTTTGAGACAATTTAATACCATAAAAAGGATATGAGTGTAAAAACTGCAGCTTTACGACGCAGAACAGCTCAATAAAGTCCTACATCGCATGTATCTTCTGCTTTAAGATGGTCTTATCGAAATTCGCTCAAATCAAGAGGCAACTCTCGTAATCATCTGATCCGCTGTGTAAATTACATAAAATTAATGTCCTATTGTAACAATAAAAAAAGAACATCTATGGCAAAGTATAGATTCAATTCCTCCTGACCAGTTTAAATGCACGATGTCGAACTATAAAAATATGAAACTGCATTTAAACCTCTCAATCTCACTTAAAATTAAAGCAAAGAATTACAATCCGTAAATTTACAAGTCCGATTAAGACTGTAACATGAAATGCTTGCATCCAGATCTATTACAAATGCAATTTTAAACCTGTGGCAATTGTGACGAATCAGTTTTCAACGGTTTACGTTTTCGCTCGTTGGTGAAGTGTCTTCGCCGATTCTGTATAGATAAAAGCAACGATATGAATGTATTTTTCATTTCCTTCTCATATTCCAATTCATCACGATGTGCCAACTGCTCCACCAAACTGTCATTGTAGACCTGAAGAAAAATAATGTAAACAAAGGGGAACATGTAAGATCTTTAACAGTGATGTAGGCTATTACTATTTAATTCTGCTTCCAGAAAAATGACTGCAATTCTGATATGCTCTAGCGCTTCCATAAATCTTACAAATACTTCCATAAATCCATAAATCTAAATTCATAAGTCTTCCATAAATCTTACTTCCTTAAGAACCGTTATATTAATCCAACTACTTTATGTCATTTACTTATCATTTGCATCTCTTGACTATAAATCAACTTTATATGAAACATATTTTTACTTGTATGAGTTGTTCCATTTCAGCACTCAGAGCAAGCAATCTGCTGTACGAAAATGATTCCAAATCTGAAATTTTAAATACTCAAATTACACACAGTCTACCTAAGTGAAGAATTTTTTGCAAAGGAAAATTATGAAAACTAAAATTTCATAGAGGAAGACACAAAAAATGAAATAATAAAGGCAAAGTATAGAAAAGGAATGAGTCATTGGAAGTACTAAACTTCCAATGAGTCATTGGAAGTATTATTAAACTACCACATAAAGGACCTTCATACTCATGACAAAGGGTTAAAACTGGTGATTTTCCTTCTTTTGAGAGAAATTCAAAATGTCCTTTCTTGAAATGTGACATGGGCTAAGAGCTTTAAGGCAAACGACACTGACAAATAAGTAAATGCTGTACATTCCAGCGCCGAGATGCATGCAGTGGAAGGGCATGCTTTGAGAAATTTTGCATTCGATGAATGTAACAAGGACAAGTTTGTCCTTAAATTGAATACTTTCTAAAATCTATCCAACTGAAGTTGATGAGGAAAATTATAAAGCTTTGGAAATTGACTTTGATGATTCCAATCCCTCTTTCTTCTTTAAAATTCATCACTTTTATCATTTATATATATTTGTTGTTAGATTTGACGGAAGAAACTGATTTGCCTCCAGAAATATTTAAAGATATGGCAGAATAAATGCTTTTCATTCTCTTTCACAGTAGTTAAAAGTACATTCCATCAAAAGTACTTACCTTCCAAGACTGGAAAATATTGAATAATATATTATTAGCTATCAAGAAATTTCCGTAAAATGCATATCGACCAAATTGTTCTCTGGACAATTTATTTAAAATATTTCGAATATTTAACTAAGTCAGCAAAATTACAGTACATACTACCATACCTACTCATATGTATGAATTCGCGAATGTATGGCAACTTTTATCTAGGTATACTTCCCTTACATTAAGATTATCTTCCACTAAAGGTAACATTTGCACTTACTTTCAGAATTCGACGTAATGACAATGGCCTGTCGCAGTTTGATATCTATATCATACTGTCCATTTGGCAGTGGTGAACGCATTGATGAATACATGCTATCCATCGATTCCATTGTTCGATCAGTCATTACCGATCCCGAAAAATCACACGACTGAAAATTCTCACAGAATCTCTGTTATTTCTATAACAGCTGTGCCGAACATACTTCAATTTTTTCATTCAATTAATTCATATGATAGCAATGGATAAAATGTTGAACAAAGTCCAAAATTAACCTGAAGCATTTGGTCAATTTCTTCGATCACTTGGTCGGCAGTTTGTGGAGGTGACTCTGATAAAGGACCACGCTGACTAATCAACTGATGCATATCTAGTGCACTTCTCAACTCCTCATCTTCCGACAAATCGATACCGGCATCACTATTTTCCTGAAAAATAACGATTTAATATTCCCTTCGGGTGTTCGTTGATTTAAAATTTTATAATGAATGAAATATGATTTTTTAACAACAGTTGGTAAACTCCTAGGAGCACCTGAACTTCCAAAAAAAAAAGAAAAAAAGAGGAAAAAGAAATTAAAGCTGCCGTTTTTCGATTTCTTGTATGGTAATGATATATTATTTTATTTTTCAGCTTCGTTACTGATTTTTCCTAATAATGACATTCAAGTAATGAGTGAGAAATATAATGCATCCTGCATAACATTACATTACTTTTAATTGATAAATTGGAGGGGCAATTAAATCAAAACCACTACGTTCACAGCACATGTGAATTTAAATTTTCATTTTCAAATTCTCGCTTTTTTCAAAATGAATTCATTTTCAAACGGAAAAAAATTTTTTCGTTCGGTAGTATCAAATCAAGACTTACTTTATTTCGCCGAATAAAGTTAGCATCAGCTGGATTTTCGGGTAATCTTTGATAGGGAAAATTATCGCTAAGAGAGAAATTGGGAACAGCAGCTCCAACACAAGGAAAGAAACTCACAGCAGTGATAGTAAAGTGATGACACATTGATGAGGAACGAAGAAAGATTTGTGTTTGTATCCTTCGCTTGATACGAATGAAAGCTAAATTAGAAACGTCAGAAGCGCTCTTTGAAACAACCCAACGGAGCAAAAATTCGAGCAAAAATTTGAGCACTCAAGCAAAAATTTTTTTTTGTATTCGAGGACAAAATTCAGAATTTGGACTCTTGTTTTTTTACTCAAGTGGAAGAAAAATAATTAAAAAGAAGGAGAAATACGAGATTACAGCTTAATGAAATATTTTTAAAAAATCCTCAATCCTTCGTCACATCCAGTTACGAACGTTAGATAATATAATCAATTTTAACATATACTTCAACAAATTTGTCATTGCTTAATACTTGCCACCAAGTTCAAGTTTTCTCCTTTCTAATTTCAGTTTTTATTTGTCAAATGGAAAGGGCAAACTGTTGATCAAGTGATTGGAAAATATGAGAGGATTCATGATGAGCTCGATGCTACTATACCATTTGACAAATAAAAAATATCAAGTGATCAAGAGGACAGTATAGTTTCTGTAGCTTGACTCTGTATATCAATGATAAAGCTACATGCATCAGCTTAATAAGAGTAACTCTGAGTGACAGGCTCATCTGTACATTTATGCTACTAAATATCATCGACCCGTGATTTCAAAGTGAAACTGAAAAACCGCGAACCAATTTTAAAGGATATGTCTTTAGGATACGACTAGTTCTTTCATAGCACGCTACCATTATTCCTCTCATTAGAACAACAAATTGAAACTTTTTTGGCCTCGAAATTTATTTGGGACAAAAAAGGACAAATTTATTTGGGACAAAAAAGCTTTTTCCGAACTTTTTTTACAAAAATTTGCTTATTATTGAACTTTATGGATTTTTGCAAGTTCAAAACCTCACAAGAATCGAAATAAGTAGAAAAAAAAATTAACAAATTAACGGAAAAAGCAAAGGAAATAAGATAAGCTATCAAACTGTGTGCATTTTCATCATTCTAGAGGTGTATAAAAATATTTGAAATAACATTCTAATAACGTCAAATGATAGAGTTCATATGAGTTTAGAAAAGAAGAAAGCATTTCTTTGCCTTTTATCGAATTTCTGCTGGTCAAAAAAAAATTTTTTTTTCATGGCTCTTTCACAATAGTTGTGCTCTGAAACAGCTTTCTGCATTTGTGCTGGAAAAGGGAAAACTTACTCTCTCTCTTTCTCTTCATAAAAATTATATGAAAGAAACATAGATCTTTGAAGCATGCTATGTTTACGTTTACCATTGCCTTCATCCTAAGTGTATCCAGTTGAAGTCTTATATGCGCTATTAACAAATGGATACATTTTTTTAGCCCCACTGGAAACTTCCCTCTTCCCGATTTCCCAGTCGCCAAATAAGTTTCAAAGTTCTGACATTCCACGAATAGTAGATTTAAGGATTTCGTAGGAATTATTCATCTAAATTTAAATGAGTCTTATGGATAAGAAAGGAGTGATTGATCGTATCAATTTTTTTGAAACCTATGCTGGATGTATGTAAAAGTGTAAAAAAAATTTTATATAAAAGATAAGGATTATAGGGGAACTTAATCATAGTACTTTAAGGAATGTTACACTTTGCAGTTCTCCTGAAACTGCTTGGTAAAAACATTCAATCATTAAATTTAATTATTAACTATTTATTTCCAGCTATCTTCTACTTTACCCCTAATATCTCTTCTCTAATTCAGAAAGGAAAAAGACAACCATAACTAAATTATGGTGCAGGATTTTTAGTGAGAAATTTAAATTTAGTGAAATTCAGCAGGATTCTTGGTACTCTAAAAGTTTAAAGTAAAGGGAATTTTGAAATAATTTTTTTTAAATAATTTGGATGACCATTTTAAAAATTCCGTCACCCTTGACAAGCGCGCGTTATTTTCAGCTTACTTACATTAGTGATTACCAGCCGATAGTGATTCCCAACGAGAGCGACAGCGCAGTGAGTAGAATGCAAGGGAGGAGGGGAGGTAACTTTCTTTTTTTTATTTTTTCAAGCTGTACTTTGATTCTTTGTCGATGATAGAGGTCTATTCAAATTGTAATATTGTACTATAAGTACTTAAATTCTTTGTTACGGTTTATTTCCAAACTAACAAAATTCATCGTTTTTGAAGCTATGTATATTGCTAACATAAATACAAGTGAAAACACCAAAGTAGTCCTGGACAAGAAAAGGTTGGAAACTACTAGCTTATAGCTTTGATTCGGGAAGCATGATGCTCGTTGTATTTGGGTTATAGCAAAAAAAAGAAAAAAGAAACTGGTAGAAGATGGAACCTTGCGTGGTTGAAGGTTCAAAGCAGGAAGTTGTAACTGTCTTGTTTGCGTCTTCGAGAAATCAAGTGGAGGCATGTTGCCAAAATTTCCCGTCAGAGTCCACCAAATTCTGGAAAACGTAATGCAATTAATTTGATTTTGCTCATATACAAAATCAAAATTGAAATGGATGATTTTATTACTGAGTTATCTGCAATATTTGCACAGCAGATGGCTGTGAGTAATCATATTGAGACCGATTTGAATATGGAATGAACTTTTGAGAATTTCATGAAATCCGGATTGATACGTGAAAGTTATGCGTCTCTCAGCCATAATTCACTTCATATGATTTGTACGGGAAAGAAATTAATTGATGAAAGTTCTCAGGAGACTGAATAAATTTTGTAAAACCTCACCAAACTTATTTGTGCATAAAATACTTGCTTAAGGTCCTGCTTCTTTGAAAAGAGTCTATCTAGGCTATTGGTGGTGAGGAAAAGCGAACAGGAATTATTTGATCTGTTCTCTGTTCTATTTAGGAACCATATGCGAAAACAATTCGAACAGTATTCCGCCAGTTATCTCTCCACTATGCATTTCTCTCGGACAATAAATAAGACTGCATATTACAACCTGGTGAGCGTCTTCATAATCTCATATTTAAAGATTCCTTTAAAATGAATTTGAAGATTTTTAGCTGTTGTTGGATGAAAATATTTCATGAAATGACGACAGTTCTCTAATTACATGAGATTTCTTTTTCGCTTTATATTAACAGAGAGCGTTTCACAAAAACAAGGAACTTGCAGCGAACGACGAATTTCGATCAGAAAAAACCCTGCTATGTTTCCATTCAACGGAAAATCTTTCTAAAACTAGGAATTGGAATAAAATTTCAAATACTGGTCTAAAGTAACGAAAACATATAGTAAGAAATAGTCGCCGATTCTCAAATTTTGGGTTCTTTAATGATTGCACTTTTCGATAATTTGTCTTAACTAAACGAAAAAATCTTCTGCTGACTAATTTTGTCGTTATTTTGTATCACATTTTGTGAATTTCCAAAAACCTTAATCAATTTCACAATATCATTACCTTCATCCTCCATTTTTTAAGGTGCGATTTACCAACATGGACCATATCGTACGATCCTAACTCAAATTTTTTTCTTATATTTGAGAAGGTATTTCAAGAAGGTTTTAAAAGCATCGATACGCAGATAATATCTTTTTCATACAGAAGTTTTACAAAATTTAAAATATAAAAGAAAAATCTGGCAAAAGGGGTAGGTGAGGTGCCGGCCGCAAAAACCTATCTCGATACTACTTTGTGGAAGATATTTTTACTGCTGTTAAAATGGTTCCAGAATACGTGGTGCGAATATCTAATACACTGTATCGACTCAAAACTGTAATTGATTGTAACAGTACCTCTTTAACTCAAAAAGGAGAAGGAAAAAAGAAAAAGTGTGTTTTTAAAGTGATGGCCACATATGGTGAATCATCAAACAAAAAATTATACTAGAATAATAATAAAACACTAACTGGCTTTCGGACATAATCTCATCCTGTGAGCGCACTTGTATAGGTGCTATCTCTTCGGTCGTCTTATTAAGATCCTTGAAGCAGTGCGAGATTTTTTGATCAAATGTTCCGACCAGATCTTCCAGACTACCTGATAGATTTTCCGCATCGAAATTTTCATCAGAATTGTTCTCGCAATCACTGGTCCTGCAACAAGAATAACAGATGAAAAGTGCTAAACAGCTGAACCTTTTAGACCTAAAATATGACTGAATATGATTGAATTCTGGGCTTTTAACTTTATTGGAGGACTTTCACAGATTTTCCTAAGTTTTTCAGCTTTAATATGAAATTTTCCTTCTGCCAGATTTTGGACACTTTTTGCAATCTAACGGATGAAAAAGTTGTGCCAAAAAACAAAAAATATCATTTGGAAATGATCAGTAATGCAAATTATTTCCAAAACGGGAAACTGAAAAAACAACAGATCGTTTTCTTGACGTCTCTTGTCTGTCCTCTTGTTCATTTAAGAAAATTTTTGTTTTGTTCCTCACTCCTGCACTTTCAAAACACATCAATTTAGGCTTTATAAGGAAAATGTAAACTGAAAAAAAAACGGTTTGAAAAGAAGGAATACGGTTAAGAACGGGTGAAAAAAAAAACTGGGTGGCAGTTGAAGGACGGTAGTAATTATTCTGGGAGACTCAAAGCTAGCTGAGAAGTCGCGGACATGTTTTGGTCAGCTAACACTAATGCAATTTTCAATTCTTATGCACAATTTGAAAATGAAGGATGAATAACTTACGTCATATCCTCAAGAATATCTTATTAGTGTTCCAAAATCAATTAAGCTAATTTCATATTTTAAAAAAACAGAGTATCCTAATAATAGCATGTAATGAAGTAACAGTTACACTGCATTGTTCTTTGGCCCAACCTGAAAATCATTTGCGTGTCACATACACAGATCGCAATGGTAAGTGACAATGTGAATACAGCATCATTGATCACTGATCATCTTTGACTTTATATCATTGCCATTTCTTATCAGCTCCTATCATTACATCTACCATTACAACCATCAGTTGTTCCACAGTGTTGCTTAAAAGATGTTATGAAGCTTAGACTTCTGATCCATCCAGGTTATATTTTTTATCATTCAGATCTCACCTTAAGATCTACGAGTCGAAAGGAGGAGGGGAGATGGGGAAAGACAGGGAGAAATTAGAAGAGGGGAAAAAACACTTTGCATGCAGACCAAGCAGAACATAGAGGTGAGAGTGAGGGACCCAACTTTTTTCCACTCAATCGACCTTATTTCCAAACGGAAAGTTTCGATACCTCATAGGCCTTATTTCTAACCAAGTCGACGGCCTTTGAGATATCAGAACTGTTGTAAGGAAGGAGAGGCGATAAGAATATAGACGTAAAAATTAGGAGAGAAAAGGAGGGATAGCTAGACAGCTCATAGTTCATGCTCCCTCCGTTCTAAGTCACAAAATTCGTCAGGTGGCTTGCGAGTTGTATGTGTAATATTATTAAACTATCTCATTACAAACTAATACACTGAGGCATATGGGATAAGCTCACGCCGTAAATACAGTGTGGAATTACTTTATTCCTCTCCCGTTTACTTACTTTATCGAAAGGTGAAATCAAAGAGAACACACTAGTTTCGAATGCAATTAATAACATCAAGACCAAATTAAAACGAATTGGTTTGATGGAAAGGGAGATTGTGGAGTAAGGAGTCAGAAGTCATTCAACACGTCATTTCTGTTAGCTTTAGGTTGTAATGATTTCGAGGATGAGGGCAACGAAAAATGAGGATAAAAATGGTTGATCAACATGAATTCCATAAAATAGATAAAACTGAAAAGAAAAGAGTAGGCTCAAATGGTAGCTGTGGCGATGTGCATCCTTATTGACCATATGTACATGCCTCAGCGGATAGCCATCTGCAGAATCCTTTAACTTCTATGTTTATTTGTCTGCTCATTTCTTTATTCCGTCCCACTTTAATTAAAAATGGCCCAGAATGTGGGTGAAAATCGATATGCTAGCATAGCATTGCAGGAATATTAAAAGGTTTAAAGGTCTTCCAGATCAGCACTAACTTAAACTATTCGGAGAAATCAGTAACTTGATTACATTCTTCCTGGATTCAACCGATTCAAACATGGAAAGACAAGTACATATAAGGAATCAAATCCCATCAAACTTTAGTATGTTATGAATAAAAACTCTAGAAAGAATACTATGACTGGCAAAATTTCTATAATTTTTTCTAGTTTTTCCACTACTTCACTTCCCGCTTATCCTTTACTATTTCTTTTTTCTCCCGCTTTCTTCTCCGTCGCTTTCAAAAAATTTTAGAGAAAGAACTACACTGGACGCAAATATTCAAAGAAGTCCTTTTCCATAACGATCGGAAAAATGAGAGAAGTGGCAGGAACAAACGTTCCAGTTCAAAATATAACGATCCGAAACTCTTAGCTGACAATAAGAATGCATCCAGTATAACACCAAATTTCAGAAAAGCCTCTGATCTAAGGTTCCTACCATTTCATTAACTCTTTTCGCTGTCTAGATGTATATTTATTATAACCCATTCTTATTAGTTTTGTTAAAACACAAACTCAGTAGTATGACTGACAGCAAGTTGCAAACTTCCATCATACTTTTAGCATGAGAGGTATTTATTTGGAAATAAGGAAAAAAAACCAACGCAAGCTCATTTCTTCCAACATATGTAATCGTGATAGAAAGCTTAGAATGGAAAAAAAGAAAAACGAAGACTTTGTCAAAGTGAAAAATGACGATGAGGGAGAAAGGTAACCACAAATAACCTCACCTCAGATTTCAATGGTTTTGTAAGCAAAGTCACGAAGCGAACAAAGTCCCATTAATGAATTTATTTTATGATATTTGTGAGCTTTTTATTGGTGGTGATATCTGAAAGTGATGCTAACCAATACTAAACTGCGCATATAAAAGTGAAGTTTGGATAAACAAGGACACAGAGGTGAGATGCAAAACGAGGGCGCTCAAAATTTTGAAAAAGATTGGGAAGAAAACAGTGTGAAATGGAAAATAAGCAAAAAAATATGAAGGAAAAGAAAACTGAATGCATCATAAAAAATCAAACCTGGAAATATCGGCTAGTAGAATGACTTATGACAGTGACTGAAGCTTTTTTCCAACCTAACGCGATGTAACTTCCCTACCTACTAAAGATCAAACAAGTTTGATTCCTTTATAAGTATCGAATTTATTTGGTTCTAGCGTTACTGCTGTACTTTAAGTCATATTTCATTAGATTTGAAGTAAAAAAGTAAGCAGTATTTCTTGAATGAAATTATAAAAAAATTCAGGATCGAACTACTATCCTATATCATTTATCTTTGGCAGATTAATGAGAAACGACTGGAGATAAGGGTCGGTAACTTATTGTATTCCAAAAAAGAATCACTTGGAGCGAACGATGATTGTTAGAGGAATGACAGTGAAAGTGAAACACAATGTATAATTCATTTTATAATAAGAACTGAAGAGCGGGAAATACAGGAGCAAGTACATGAAAGGAGGAGCAGGAGCACTATTTATGCATCAATCTGAAATCTTATCGCTCATTCTATATTTCTCTGTGCTGTGAATGTCAGGAAATTTGCTTGGTTGTAAATACAGCGATGGGTAAAGCAAGCAACAAAAGAAAAAGAATCCAACCAAAATCAACAGTTTAGACAATTAGTAAGCCTACTGAGGGTTTCCCCTACTAATTCAACAGATCATTTCTGTTTCAAGATTTCTGTAGTTGGACTATTGCTCTTCTTCCTCTCTTTTTCTTTCTCCCTCTCTACAATGCATCCAAAAACCCAATGAAAAGGAAGAGAATGGCTAGAAAAGTTGTAGCTTTGTAATTCAGAAGAAAATTCAAACGATAAAATCACGAAACAACCACAAGCACTTACGACTGCTGCGATGCCGTTTTGATAAAGTCGATGTCATCTTCGAGATGAGCCAGGGGAACTTCTGGCACACTACAATTTATATCTTCGACCATTCCCGTACCCATTACCATGAGGGCACCAATGAAACGAAAACAGGAATGAAATTATACTGAGACTGGAACAGAATAAAACAGAAATGTGTATATCAATGACTTGGATCAGTCGGCTATCGTCACCTTCAGTACTTATTGGTAGCAATCCTACAAGACCAGCGTTGGTCTCCACCCCATGAATGAATCGTTGCGAGGCAACTAACCCGAAAATCAATTCCTCGAACTATTTGCTCCACTGGAGACATGTGACACACACACATAGACACAGACACACATCTGCTCAATATATCAGCATCACATCTAAGTGATCCTACTTCCTCTTATCCAAGAGAATGTGGAGTTAGTGTTAGTCGTATGCACACCTCATTTTTCTTCAGTTTGACAGTCGTATGTTCCTTCCATCAATAAAAACAACCAAATGGCTGCCAGATGCTTTTATCTATTTTTGAGGAAGTATCTGTCTATTATAACATAGCACAGCACAACACTGTTAGGGAATTACTTGGCCTTACCGCACTTCTTAAAGTTCTATTACTCTCTCTTTCCTTAGCTCACCCAATCCACCCTTCGTACTAAAGTCCGTTATCAAAGATACCCAGAATATATGGCATTCACAGTGCATCGGCCAATAATGACACAGCTGCTTTTCATATAGCCCTCTGAGCATCCGTCACTCACACATCCATGGCAGTGACCTTTGAACTGTTTATTTTTATAATCTTGCTGGCTATTCTGGAAAAAAAAAGTAGCCAGCAAAATAAGTACCAAAGTTTGCTTCGAAATCCCGTGGATAAACTCATCTTGCATCAGACTTATTTAGGAGTAAATGTACAGAACAAATATGACTGATAGGCAATTACAATCAATTGGTATAGAAAAGTTAAACCACAGTGCAGTTAAGAAGATATCACATTACTGAAGTAAGTACAATACAGTTATTAATACCAACCACAAAATACCAACTTGATTCTACTGGTTGGCACAACCTTTCTCTTAATTAATTACTATGGAAATTTTCGGTTACATTCAGCATTCTTTAGCAGAACAAACGACACAGACAATACCAAAAAATTGAATCGATGAATAGAATTCGAAAATATAAATTGTTAACTTTATTTTAAATAATTGAAATTTATTTTAAATAATTGAAATTGCTGGTAGTAATGCTCTTCTTGTTTCAGTTTAAGAAATATGAATTTCAAGCTCATATCCAAAAGTTACAGCGCTTTCAGCGTACATCTTATCAATCAGCATTGATAGAATCGTGGGGACAACTCAGTGATGACGTAGTGCCTTAGTTCTTTCTACTCAGAAGGCTGGTGCCTTTAATTTTTTTGAGCTCTTTTCCTGATTGTATGAACATTCGAAACTTGACTTGATGATCAGCTTGCTTGAGAATGGTTATCTGAATACAATCTTATTGCTGTTACGCTTATACTTGGCGGAGTTGCATTCTCTGAAGTTATTCCACGTCAGTCATGTCAGTTTATTTGAATGGGATACTTGATATTTTTAGTAGCTGAGAAACTCATTCCTTGCGTTAATACTATATTGTTTTTATTAACCAATGATAAGCAAATCAGATGTTTTATCTTTTGACGAACTTTTGCAACATTCGTTACAAACTAAAGTACCGTTCTCATTATATCAAATTAAGCAGTACTAGAAAGAACTAATTTACTAATGTAGTTTAAGTAGCATACATATCCAACACTGAAACATATATCCGGTAATATATGGCTTAAATAGATGTGAGAGGGAATGTGACATCTGAAGAGCTTCTACAACAACTCCAAAAGCACAATTCTAATCCAAATAATTCCATGTAGCCTATAAGTTTTCTTGTTTTACTTCTGCTGTGATTGTGTTTGTTAGCATCATAACAAAGACATTCACTAAAGTTTCGACGCTCATTATAAGGGACAACTAACGCTAACTGCGTGTATAACACGTGTATCGAGCAAAGGGTCAATGAAAAAAAGACTCTTCACAGGTGCTCCTTTCATCACTCACATTCTCATCAGCTAAAACGTCTCATTCATTTCCAAAAACGCTTTCTCTACATTTCTTCCTTCAGTATATGGCTGGAACTTTCTTTCTACTGTAATAAGTACAAGAGGGCAGCAGTAGAATTGACCTGAGTAATTCCACCTTATAAAGTACAAGGATAACTTATAAACCAAAATTTATGAGGCATTGCATTTATACGTAGTTAATATACTGAAGGAGGAAATGTAGAGAATTTGACTGCATTCTAAAAATTTGCATTTTAAGAGCCTCCAGTCGAACCATTCGGTTGTCGAATTTTGCAGTCTGATGCTATTTAAATAGTTAAAATTTTACTTAAACTTCGACATAGACGGAAGGAAGAGAGCAGGGTGTCGAGATACCGGTTTTCATATGAAATCGTGAACATCCATCTGCGTGAAAGTCTTCCTTGTGGAATTCTTGACAGAAGAGATTCGGGATAAGTTTTTAGCTATATTACTATTTTACCGAATTTTAATTTTGTTTGTCTTCCAGTTCTATAATTTGACTCGTAAAACTGACAAGGGAGAGAGTTAAGTAAAGCTGAGAAGAGTGCGCTAGTCAAGCAATGAAGGTAAATACTTTAGGCCCAGAAACAAAGTGAAGAATATGTGGAATAAAGATTGAGCGTTGCCGAGCTTGACCTCAATGATCTCCGCATTTCCGGGAGCATTTCTTTCATTTACAGTTATGTTTGCTAGGATACTAAGTTCCGAAATCTCAACACTTTCCAAACGTAATGCGCATATTCATAGTTTTTGAGCTAAGGAAAGAAGCTCGTATTCAGTTAATTTTTCAGTTATGGCGACAGCTGAAGAGCGTAAGCTTGAACTCGAACGTAAAAAGCAGAAGTTGGCTGAAATCCGGGAAGAGAAAAGACGCCGGGAAGAAGAACGGCGACGAAATTTGCTGAGAAATACAAATCTTGAAAACGGAACAGGTTTTTTTCTTTTATCTGTGTCAAATTGTGCAAAATTACTTCGTCTCACATAATTCATAATTTCTTTATAAGAGCATATGTTGTATTATGTGATCGCTTCCGTCCCCTGTTATTCATTTGTTCAGTATCTGTGTATTACGTCTTTTTTAGACTGTGTGGTTGAACCTTGTTTGGAAAATTGTGAGAGACAGAGGATTTGTAAGTAATTAAGAAGAAATATTTCATGTGACCTCACCTTAGTTCTTACTTTTTAGTGGGCGATTTGCCGAAAACATTTTCGCAGAAGGATCTAGAAGAAATCCTTGAACCGTTAGGAATATCAGCCCAGCCTCAGATCGAACGTTCCATTACTCCTAACAACTTTGATCACCGAACAGTAATAAAATTCTTTGTTTCTTTACCATAATTTTCAGGGAAGCAATAAATATAAGTTGCAGTTTTACAATTTCATTTTTTTGGCAATCATTTTTTTCTTCCATCATGATATATGTTTCATGAATTTAATTAGTTCCCAGACATCAGTCACCTATATCTACTTTTCAGGATGGAGATGGGAACAGCCAGAGATATTCATCCATTCTCAAAACACAAAAACTTGCCCTTTGTGAAACACAGTTGATTTCAGTACCACCTAAGGATGCTGTATGATTTTTTTTGGTTAATTTTGGCGCCGAGTTGCGTGATATTTTCAGTTCACTTTGCAACCCTGTAATACTCCTTTATTCAGTGTGTGATTCTTCCGGTATCCAAGGACATACCGCCCTGAATAACTTTTGTTGACTCTAAATGCTTTAAAATACTGTGGGGAAGATTTGATTTTAAATATTACTGCAGACACAGGAACAATATTTTCAGGCAAATTATTGTAAAACAACGCAAACCGATGACGATCGAGTATCAGCAGGGGAATTTAGTTTAGGTTCTCAGGAATTTGATTATGATGAAGAAATGACGATGTTGGACAAACATTTAGAAATCAATTTTGACGAATCTCCTACACGAGAAATTGCGAATATTTTGCCTAATTTTAATTTTGGCGTACGCCATCATCAAGAGGTAAATAGTATTTGAAGTTGACGACTAAAATCATGTAAGGAATGTAAGAATTGTACTAAATGTATATTTAATTTGAGCTTTGTAGATTAGTGAAGAAAAGAAAGAGGAGGAAACGAAGGTTCCAGATTTGAGTGAAGAAGAGAAGTTGCAAATTCTCAGCAGTCAAAAATTTCAGCAATTTTTTGATTACAGCTCACGCGTCATGGAACGACAATTAGCTGAAGAGGTTAGCAACATTTTGTGTCAAGATAACACTTTGTGACGATTATTAAATATATAATCACTATGTTTTATTGCTATAAAATAGCCTTGCGTATTGCAATAGTAACAACTTTGAGAAGTGATTAAAGTATTTAATGGAATGTTTTTCAAATAGTTTGTATTTAAAGCATTTATGACCTTTTTTCACCATCCTTATTCACTGCAGCTTAGTGTAGCGCATATCATTATAAAGTTTGTGCAACGTTTTCATTTCGTTTATTTTTTTTCTGATTGACATCTTCATCGATTACTCACGCGACGAAGCTATGGAAGAAAAAACCGATAATGGCGAAAAATTGATGTTTGCTAGAAAATTTGTTGATGAAAAGTGGAGCTTAGGAAGATAAGTGTTTCGCTCTTATCATTTCAGAATATTTATTACATCATTGTCCATAAACACAACTTGGTTAATTGCATTGTTATATATAAAAATTTAGAAGGACTTGACTTTTTTTTCTTGTTAGATTGGGACTAAAGTTGTCCTTTTATAACTTTTTTGCCCTTTATTTTTAGAGCCATAACAGGTATTGATCACTGTGTACAACATCCGGAATTATTTGCCGTTTCTTATGATCAGAATCCTGATTCTCCTCTTGATCCTGTTGGAGTAGTACAATTATGGAGTTGTCGTTTCAAAAAGCCAACTGCTGAGTTAGCATTATGTTGAAAGCATTTGGAAGTTTTTTTTACACTTTAAATGATTAGAAAACTTGGCAGCTAATTTCTCAATTTCAGGTACACATTCTATTGTCAGTCACTGGTTACAAGTGTCGCGTTTGCCAAATTCCATCCAAATTTGATAATGGGAGGATGTTATTCCGGTCAGATTTGTATGTGGGACAATAGACTCAGCAAGAAGACTCCTGTCAATAAGGTTTTCTGTTCTCTTTTTCATCTTACATTTTATTTTATTTTTTCGCTAGAAGAGGGAGTAAGTTGTATCTCAAAAGTAATTTCGCAAATGAAATAAAACTAGAATTTATGGTTCTAGAATAACTATTGTTTAAAGAATCGCAGCTCGCTTCTTTTTTTGAAATCAAGTTGAACAGTCCTAAAATCATGACAGTGTTATTTTTGTTCAGGCTTTATTGAAAAGTCCAGCTCTCTTGTCACCCTTATTCTTATGACTTTTTTATTGAGAAATATTTTAGAGTCCTTTATCATCGCAAGCTCATACTCATCCGGTGCTTAGCATGGCAGTGGTGGGAAGTCAAAATGCACATAATTTAATTAGTATATCAACTGATGGAAGGCTTTGTTCGTGGAGCGTTGATAATTTAAATCAACCAATTGACGTGATTGACTTAGCATGGAAACAGAAACAGGTATATATATACATATATGTATATATATACATATGAGGTTTCGAAGAAATTTTTCCTTTTCGTGTATCTTCAGTGGAACATACAATTGTCTGATTATTCAAAACTTGGTTGCACATTAGGCGATTCCTGCCAATCTTTTGTTACATTAAACCGATACAGTATTATCAATATGACAAAGAAGTTGTTTGTCGAAGTCATCACCAGTGAATGTTGTGAAGTCAATTTTCTTATAATATACATTTTAGGTAACATGCACATGCATGTCCTTCGCATTGGAAGATGTTAATAATTTTGTGGTAGGCAGTGAAGAAGGAAATGTTTACACGGCAAGCAGGCATGGTAATAAAGGCGGAATAAATGATGGCTATGAAGGTAAGTTTCAAAGTACTCCTAATTCGATTATTATACACTCAAACCAACTTTGTGAAGTCATTGCATTATCTTCTTGCAGGTCACATTGGACCTGTAACAGGAGTTGACACACATAAAGCTTCTGGCATTATTGATTTGTCACATTTGTTCTTATCATGTTCTTTGGATTGGACAGTCAAGTTATGGAGTACTAAGGCAATAATTATTATCTCAAAAAACATTTGCATCAGAGTTTAGGGAATTTCCCGTAACTTGGAATGAACTTTGTTCTTCTTTTGTTTTGTTCTAAAATTGTATTTTTTCCCTAGTGCTACGTCATATAAACGGTTCGGTTGTTTCACAGCAATTTTTTGCTTTTGCTAGGCAATAATGGTAATTTAATTAAGATTTAAATTTTGTAGGAGACACGGCCGATTTATTCATTCGAAAAGCATGGCAATTATGTAACTGATGTTGCCTGGTCTCCCGTTCATCCTGCTGTTTTTACATCTGCAGATGCTAGTGGAAATGTAGGCTTTTACTGACGACATCTATTTTATAACTTGATATTAATAATTAAGCATTGATAACTTCTTTTACGTTTAGGTATTTCTGTGGAATTTAAACGAAGACACCGAAGCTCCTGTGTCACATTTGCAAATGGAAGGTGGTGTTGGAGTACGAAAGATGAAATGGATGCAGAACGGTGAGATGGTATAAAAAGATTTGGGGATCATTGAATTCTTTTGTTGTTAATGCTTTCCAGGAATGCAGATTCCTCTGATACATAGTCATTTTTTGTTATTTAGCATAATCTCGAAACATTTCTTCCTTCTTTAGAGCTTCGAAAAATTATTTCTGAATGACTACGGGTTGATGCGGTATTGAAGGCTATGGTGAAATTGTCATCGCAGGAATGATTACCTTAGATGATGCTGAACATGGCCAAAATTAGCAAAATTTGATCCATTTTTCGCACAGCGACACTTTGATTTATAAGTGCCGATTGTATTTGCGGGTGGATACATATCTGATTTCTCAAGGTTTGTGTGAAAAATTTATTTATTAAACTTCATAATTTTAGGTCAGCAGCTAACCGTGGGCGATGAGAAAGGTAATTTGTATGTGTATGATGTACATGAAAACCTTACATGCTGTCGGCCAGATGAATGGTCGAAGCTGTCAAGGTATTTTTTTAATTAAGTTGTCGTGCTCTCATTAAAATATTCAGTGATAACCTTATATTACTTATAACTTATACATCTGTTATATCCAACTCGGTTCGTAGATATAAATCGAAAGAAGAATGATTTGTCTGTTTAATATATTCTTGTTTAATATTCGAGGAAAGATAAATATAGAGGATATATTTTGGATTTTATTATGTTTGTATTGCAGAGCACTTCGTGATATCAGGCAGGCGAACGAGGAAGGAGAAGAATTGTCAGAAACAATGAATAGCTTTAATACATCTTTTGGTATTAGTTCAATAACTAATGCTGCAGTGGGTGTTGCTGGCTTATCACCAAGACAACAGTGGTAGCTGTTACTCTTCCAAATCCGTAAAATATCGTTTTCAGTTAGTGTGTTGTTTATTTGAACTACTCGACCCTGCACAATTAACTTATTGCGAATTTCCAATTGTAATGCTTATACTGTGGCATCGTTTTCTAATATTCTAACTAACTGAAATTGTTCGACTTAGGTATTATAGCAAACAATTGAATAAAATAAATGAAAGTTTTGGTATTGAGTTTCACATTCTTCCTTTGCTTACTTTAATGCTTTTCTCAGTCAACTGAAGTACGGTCGAATGTTAATACTTCCCAACTTTGTAAACTTTGTACGTTTGGACAGTATGTCATGCTGATGTTTTAGTGGTTCATCTCATCGCATGTAATTACCATCGTTTCAAACTTTCTTGACTTATTTTTTTGACATCGGAAAATAAGTTGCGATATATATTTATCTGGAAATGGTTTTTTTTTGTCCATTTGAAATCATTGCTTTCATATTATGTTAGTTCCGTTGAACAAATTATCTTCGCATTTTTATAAATTTCTCTCATTCATTTTTCTCGTTGATTGCTTAAAAAATCCCAATGTATTTCTATCTCTTGCATTTTTGAGCATTGGAAAAATTGCTTTCTAGCTGCAGGAAAGTAAATTTTTTTACTCGAATAGTAGTCAGATTATGAACAGAAATAATTGAAAATTCAGTAGACATTTCAGTCATCATTTCCCACGATGAACTGAAAATCTTCATTTTTTCTGATTAACCTTTTGCCTTAAGCCACCAAATACGGGACGTCTTACCAATTTTAACTTTATTTCTTCACTATCCGTGTTATTTTATGACCTGAATACTGATCAGCTAGCATCTTCGGTAAAGCCATATTTACCATACGCACATTTCTATCGCTTTCACTGATTATTTTTGCCAATGTTAATACAGGTGCAAGCTTCATATTTCCTATCATGTAAGAGCAGACTTTTTTTAGAGTTGCTTTCATTTCATTGTTTTTCATTCGACCGAAATATACTAATGATTGCATGAAAAACCTGTCCAAAAACTTTCGTTCATAAGTATAAAAATGAAAATGTATCACAGATATATTTTGGACCACTGTTGGTCATTTCTGGCTTGCTCCCTGGATCGATGTTTTCAGAAATTTCCACATATTTTTATATGCTTCCGCGCAACTCTCCAGTAGCAGTTTCTTGAATTCTTCGTATTATTCCACTTGAAAGTCGATGAAATTTGAAAGGTGCTGACATCACTGCGATCAATAGGTTATCATGAGATGGTCACGTGTTAAAAGTATCTCATTGGCTGTGCTTCTGTGACCGAGTTTTTCTGCCATCAGTGCACAAACACTGGTGGCATGAAGAAGGGTTTCCTCCCCATTTTACGATATTCAATTATTTACTGTTTAAATAAAGTGTAATGTATTTTAAGCCATGCTTTTCTACCACTGGCATATTGCTATTATAATCATCGATGTGTTCATAATATGCTTTTGTACATAGTTTATTAAATTATCCTGAACGATTGTTCGTTTGTTTCCTTACTAAAGTTGCCAGGATTATCCAGAGATAAATCGTTTTTATGATAAGCGGTCATGAATTGTCCCACAGCAACAGTTTTGAACAACCAACCACCCACTTTTTTTTTGTCGTCTTATTGAAAGTACATGACGCAATGTTTTTTCCACTTATTTCATGTTTTTGGAGTACACCTTTCCACTTTGGCAACTGTTGTAGATGATACAACTATGAAAATTGATATTTATATCGATTAGATATTGATATTTTCAAAAATTTCCGTCTATTTTATTAGTTGTTGCGCCTTTTTGACAAGCTTCCCTTTGACTTATAAAATTTTTGTGCTTCCTTACAACGGCAGATTCCTGATGAACTGAGAGTTTTCGTCTTTCATTGAGTTGTTTCCATAGGTTACACCTAATAAAGGTTTTGTAATACATGCAACACTTGTATTTGATGATAAAGTAGATACACAAAAGGAAGAATATTAGGCATAACTTTTTACTCCAAATTTTAAATCACTGTACCTCGCTTGAAAAGAAATTTTAAGCAACGAACTATAAATAACTGGAATACAGCTTAAATAATAAACTGAATCTGACGAGGAATCTGATCTCGTTGAAGCCGATAGATACTAAAATGTATATTCCGGCAAGCTTTGTAGGTTCCAGTCCTTAACACGAAACTCCATTTGTTCGTTTGGAACCGAAGTAGCTGACAAAATATCTAGTAGTTTCAAAGTGGAGAGTTCACGTACGAGAATCGACATACTGAATCGAGTTGTTATGATTTCCTTCGACATTACTCTGAATTGGAAATATAACATACAAATCCAACAAAG